TAAGAGGGAAAGCTTAGGTAGCCAGTTTTCAAATTGAAAAACACCATCACTTCTTTATAAGCACATACAAATGTGTCAGCAGGCTCCAAGTTCATGTTTAACAGCTACAACTGAATTCTAAAGTGAGCAAGACAGTGTTTTTGAGGCCAGTGTGTTAGTGCACACTTTTTTGCCTATTTCAAAATAACAGTAGAGGCAAGTATATTACAATAGTTTGATTTGGCCCCCAAACCAGTCATGGACTTCTTTTCCCATCTGAATTTTCACCATATTGAGTCATTTAAGAAGAAAACACTATTGACATTTTAAAGAAAATACTTGCATTTCTATGAGAAGTCCACATTTCACTTTAAAAAAAGAGGACATAATATCCCTCAATTAGTTGTTTTTGAAGTGCATCAGCCTTCCCATAAGCAAATGAGATACTCAGTTCTAGACTAGTGGCATCCTGGTTATTATTAGTTTTTTTTAAATAGAGCTATCTAATGTATCATCAGTGTCCCCAACCAAGACTTTAGGAGAATGGGAACCGTCTCCATGGGACGGCCTCCATTTTAGAGGACAGGAGAAGGGACTGAGCTAATTAGAACAGAGACTCAGTCTGCACAAAGGGTGAGGGAAGGATGAGAGGGAGTGATCTTTCATTATATTCTTAACAAAAGGTATCTTGAGCAACGGTATTTTTTATGTTGATCCAAAGCTGCCAAGATTCTAAATAATGTTAAGCTTGGAACACACTGGGCTTAGAAACAAGGTCTTTTTTTAACAGGGGTCTTCTCTCAGAGCGACTAACCCGATTCCCACTATCCCCAGTCCTGTAGCTTCCTGGTTTTACCTCAGGCCAATGGTACAAATGTCACAGTAAACACTTCCCTATTGGAAACCTAGACATGATTTCTTTTTCAGTTAGAAAAAAAATAAATGGCTTGTCCTTGAATGCAATTGAAAACATTCAGAATCAAGACTCCAAATACTCAAACTCCTCAAAGAACTCACTAATAAATTTCTCGTGCAGGGACATCACGTCCAGCCACAATGACTTATTTAACTTGAAGAATTTCTGAAGCGCAGTGTACTAAACAAAGTTAGGTGGGAGTCAAAGTGGAAACGTGGAATTTGGAAACATTTTGAATTTTTTTTCCTCAGAAAAAGATTGAAGGAGTATGATCAATGTATCATTGTCACATTGTAAAAGGCCGTGTAAACTGAGAATAGTCCAGAGGGCCAGAGAGCCCTGTATTGAAATCCCAGTTCCATAGTCTACTAGCTGTGTGGTTTCAGCAAGGGACTCGCTTATCAAAGAAGGATTATTATAATTGGCTTGTAAGTTTTCACGGGGCTTGGAGATTGTCTACGTAAAGTATTTATCACAGGGTCTGGCAGATTTTAGGTTCAGTACATGGAATGAATTATTTGCTGGGTTCAATTTATTGTAATGCTTAAAAATAAGTTTAAATGTTCACAGTATATTCTGTAACACTTGGGTATTCATTGCATCATGATTATTGAGGGCAGTAGGATGGGGTGGTGGGAGCTTGAATATGTGCCAAGGAGTTTAAAATTTATTCTTTAGACAAAGTTGAGCACTTGAAACCTAAAGGACAAGGAATTAGCACAATTACAGCTGCCAGCACAAGAGGCCATAGCAGAAAACACCTGCCTTTGGGATCAGAGGGCACAGTGGGTATCTCTGTTCTGTGACTTCCCTGCTGTGTGACATGGGCAACACAGTGAAGACCTCTAATGTTCACTCAGTCTCTGCATCTGTGAAACAGGACTAATAATCACCCTTTTCCTAACTAAAGCATGTTAAAATGTTGAGAAAGGGGAATGCTGGAGATGAATGTAAACTATTACTTGTAATTCCTTTGAGATTGTCTGTTCTATCTACCAAAGGGAAGAATTACTGTTATTATAGTTGCTGGATTTTTCTTTAAGTTTTGGCTTAAAACTTAAGCCCAAAAATGCCTTTCAAAAAATCAGGATACTTACTACACAGTACCTTCTTGGGCCATTTAACAAGTTACAGAGAGATGGGAGACCTGGTTTGTGCTCCTGGTTATGTCATGTTATCCTTGCGTGTAATATGTGCCCTCTCCGAGACTCAGTGAGGGATTAGTATTTGGGTATTGTGCATTTCTATCAACTGGAAAGAAATTGGGAAGAGGCATAGATATGGTGACTCAAGGGGAGGCTGGACCTAGAACTTGCTTACCCCTCCTGGTGCCCTGGGTACTGAACAAGCTCAGCATGCTTTCAGTACCAAACTTGTCTTTCTAGTGTGCTTTGTCCCGTGGTAGTCAAATGCTTTAGTATGGCGTTCCTGGTGGGGTTTTGAGCAGGCAAACACTGAAATCATTGGGAGTTGGTACTAGTTAAGTCATCCAGCCCCACTCTCTCCTGATGCTAATTGTGGGGCCCTCTCTGTTTCTCCCTAACTCATCCCATATTGGGCAACTCTGTTACTTAGCTCTTATGCTCCTCCTTGCCTGGATCAAGCTGCTACCAGCCTCGGGGCCTCAGTCACCTTCTCCTTCTAGAATGGCCACCGTCATACCAGTTCACTGAGGTTTTTCCAAGTCAGACAGGGGAAGCATGGGCTTTTGTCCTTTTTAAGGCCTGGTGGCAGACTCAATTGTTACCTTCAGCGGTCAGGCAAATATCAGAAGTGATTCTGGAGGGTTGGCTGAAGACAGTGACAAACATGGGTGGGAGAGCCTGGGCCATGTAGTCCCAGTGTCACCTGGTCTTCCAGTTTTGCAAGAGAAAGTAAAGATCTGATTTTTATGTTAAATGTGTTAATTTTAAAACTTAACTTACTAAATTTCAAAGAATATATTGTCATTGGCAATAATATAGTTCTTAACTTGAGGAAAGAGTTCATGGGTATTTGTTAAACATTTTGCTTCGTGACATATATTATATTTGGGGTGCCACAAAATTTATCATCCAGACCAGGGCAATTTGAGAGAGTAAAGGGGATGTGATTAATAATTTTGTCAGATATGAGGACTTTTCAACTATTACATCCTCCAGCTCCCTGTTTTGAAGGAATGGTAGAAGTATTTATAAAAACGTGTGGAGATGGGTCTGGATGGATCGGCAGGAAGACACTCAGGCTGGAATCAACATGGTACATTCAGGACCAGTCAGGAAGCCTGATCAGTTTCAGATAAAGCTCTCTAATGGGCCAACGTTGGAATGCATCTATTTGGTAGGGTAGAGCCAGATTATGGGGTATTTTGAAAGCCACAGCAGATAGTTCCAGACTTGATGCAACTGTCAAAAGGAACTGATGTTTGTTCTTGAGAAGAAAAGGGCAGTGGAATTCAGAATGGACCCCAGGAACAGAAAAGCCATTTTCAAGAATTAGGATACAGAGCATAGTTTAATAATACATTCAGCATTTACTGAACTCTCACGTTGTACTGGTCCCTGTCCTCTGAGCTAGGAGATAGAGAGGTACGAAGGACATAATCCAGAGGGAGAATCAGAAGTTTTAAAAGAGAATCGTCATGTTTCCATGGGTAGCAGAGGTGAACCTGACTGGATATCTGCAGGAAGAGTGCAGGCAGCCAGATTAAGGAGGTGGGGAATGAGAAGAGCCTCCGGGCAGAGGGGCTAGCACCATAGCATGGTCGGAAAAGGGGATGACCAGCGGCTCTGTGTCCTGAGCTCGGGAATGCTAGTGAAACACTAGAGAGCAGGCAAGGGTCGGAAAGGTCCTGTGGGCCCTGAAGCAGGCCTGCAGACAAGGCGGCCAGCGGTGACACCGCAGGAGGAGATGCAAGGAAAGAGGAAGAGCTCTGGAGAGAGCCAGCAGATCAGGACAAGATGGGCAATTTCTGTATCACTGAAGCAAAGGGAGAAAGCGGAGTTTCAACAGCAGCCTTTAACAGACGGTGCAAAGGACAGAGACCCAGAAGAGGGAGGGCTTGGCTAGAAGGAGGTTGGTTACGAGTGGGCTCCTGCTTCCATCTCCAGATAGGTTAAGATTCCCATCGCTGCCAGCTCTGCCGAATGGCCTCTCCTCTATCACAGTCAGAGAGGGAAGTTTCAGCTGCCTGAGCAACTGGTTTTTCACTTTCCTCCTTGTTGGCAGAGTCTAATGCCAGCAGAGGGGGAGGAGCTGGGAGCTGTAACCTCTGGTGATCCATGCAGCACACCTGTGACCACTTCTGCAGTCTTTCTCTCTCTCTCTCTCTCTCTCTCTCTCTCTCTCTCTCTCTGAGTTTGGGGGAGAAGCACTACAGGTTATGTTCTCTGCACATTACAGAAAGAAAGAACAAAGGGTTACTCTAGTATAGTTTTAAGTTTTCTAAATTATTGTGAAATGTGAAAAAGTAGTGAATGGTGGAGCTTCCTCAAAACCAATTCTGGGCGCTGTCTGTAGTTAACAACAGCTAGCTTTGTGGGATTCCTGTGCAGATCTGTTTCGGCACTTAATTATAATAAGGTTATTATTTTTATCTTGGGACCAGATCTGCATCATTCAGAGCCAGTGTCTTGGGGCCCTGATCTGACTCAAGGTGTTCTCAGGTGCTTGTCTCTCTTCTCAAATCACTGCACGACACTGAGTCTCAACCAATGGACCTACTAGACTCAGTGCATGTAGGAGGCTGTATGTTGTCTAACAGCAAATCCTCCACCCCTGCTGAGCTAGTCTAATAGCATGCCTGATTTTCTACATTGATAAGTCCTCAACTAAGAAATGCTGCTCCTGGTAGTAGGTTACACCTGTCCACTATGTGAAAACCACAAAAAAGATTGAGAGCCCAAATTTGTGTCTTTAGAAATTATTTTCTACTTTTAAAAATTACCAAAGGAAATTTAAAATGTAGTTCCATGATTGTTATGTATTGATAATATCTATTCTACATATATAGCTCATTTTTTACTAGTACAATAGAAATAAACATGTTTGGCTTAATGTAACTTGACCTTAAGAATTCACTGCACTAATAGTTTGGGGTTTTGCATTTATTCTTCTTCTGTTTCAGGTGCTGGTCTCAGTGTCAGTGATAATGAATCTGGTCAAGGCAGCCAGGAGGGAGGCACCTTGACTGACTCCCAGATCGTAGAACTCAGGAGAATACCCATCGCCGACACCCACCTCTAGTGCCTCACTAACCATTAGAATGAGAGTACTTGCATATTTGCATTGGCTTTTGTACTAACCCTCTATAAGTGTGTGCAGCCGTATAATAGGAATCCGTGAATTGTACTGTATGATTAACACAGAGGTGATTGTTGTATTTGGAATATAAATTACTTATCTTTTGTGCAGCCTGAAAATTCACTGCCATAATGAAAGGCTGGATCAATTTATAATATCAATTTATAATCAGATAATAGAATGTACATATTCTAAGAATATTAGTTGTTTTTTAATTATCCTAAATGACTAACATTGTTCAATGAAAATAATCAATAAAAGCAATAGAATCCATTTGGTATCATCCAGGCTCATTATTTATGAAGAAATGTTGATATCAAGCATTCTATGTCTTCTAGCATTGATGTAGGTCATCCAGATCAAGACTTTACTGCATCTAGAAGGCTCTAATTCCTGAAAACTGTAAAATGTATTGTCTGTTGATAGTCTGTCATTAACGGTCTATAGTTCTGCTCATTATAAAATTAGGTATCATCATCTTCCAGAATGAATGTTCTGTCCCCAGTTAAAAATAATTCCATCAAGCATTTTTCATCACTAAGAAGAAGATCATTCAAACAGTACAGAGAATGTTTTGGAGAAAAATTTCACTGTTTGGATTTTTCAATCTTTCTTTGTCTTGGAATGAGAAATGAGAAAGTCTATCCTGGAACAAGCACTGTGGTGTTCATGATAATTTCATTGACTGTGGTTCCAGAAGAATCATTAGGAACATAACAAGTTTGTCCTGAGGAAGACTTTTTGACCTTCCTCAGGATACATAAGTATTGTCAAGAAAATCAGTATCATCTCAAGAAAAATTTAAATTATTTTTTTTATCTCAGAGAAAATTTTGTTCTGTTAATAATTTCCCTTATAAGGCTGAGCCCGTGGCGCACTCAGGAGAGTGCGGCGCTGGGAGCGCAGCGGTGCTCCCGCTGCGGGTTCGGATCCTATGTAGGGATGGCCTGGCCAGTGTGCTCACTGGCTGAGCGCGGTACGGCCGGTCTCAAAAAGGACAAAAAATAATAATAATAATAATAATAATAATTTCACTTATAGCCATAATTAAAACATCCAAGTGCTTTATTATCACTGCTAAGCATGGCTTCATTTTTTATAAAATCTGAGGTGGTATTATTTAGCTTGATAAATTATGAAATTAATTTCTCCACTTCCTGTGAGTCCTCCCCCTCCTCTTTTATATTGAGTTTTGATTAGCGGATTGTCATTGTAAGTAAAAACAAATCAAACAGCATGAAAAACAAAGGCTGCATCTTTGGTGGAGTATAATCCTTTGTAGGAACTTCCAAAATCATGGTAATAAGATTGAATTTGCCCTGTGACAAGTTGTCTCTTTCAACCCACAGCACTTCGCCGTAGTCTGTTCCATGACAGGATAGAAACAGTTGATGAAATTGGTTATAATACATGGAACAGAAGGTAAAATTTTTGAAATTTGTAAGCATTCTAAAATTGTTAATGAATTTTAATGAATTTGGAGCCTAAGTATTGAATACAGAAACATGAGTTTTATCATGTGAAATCCTTGAGTTATAATCATTGGCAATATTTTTAACAGCTAACTAAGCATCTAATTCTCTAACAAAGGCAATTGTCGATAGCTATTTTCATTTCTACATATTGTCAGAATTTGGGGAAACCTGGCAAAAAACATGACCAATAAGGGACACCTTTCTTACTAAAGGTACTGCATTTCTCTTGGTATCCAAATCGCCACTTTGATAAGGAATCAAAAGGACCACCTGCCACTGTTTAACATGATTCTTTTTTTTTTTCTTTTTTTTTTCGTGTCCGGCAACGGATCGCAACCCTCAGTGTCATGCCCATACCGGACCGGGACCGGCAACGGGATCGCAACCCTCAGTGCTGCGCCCGCACCTTCCTCAGCCAGTGAGCGGGAACAGGTCTGAATGTGGGATCTGAACCCTCGGCGGGAGCGCCGCCACACTCCCAAGCGGCGCACTGTAGCAGTGCGCCATAGGGCCGGCCCCTAACATGATTCTTTTAAATATTGGAAGGAAAAACCAAGGTTTCTAGATGCCATAATGCTAAAACAAATATTTTCATGTTGCAACAGCACCAGTAGTTTGCCATCCTGTTTCTTTCCAATGCAGACTGAAATAAGACACCTTCCAGGGAAGTATAGAACCATGTAAGAAGGAGAAAACCAAGTATAATCCTCAAAAGTGAAAGTCAGGGATGCTAACACTTCACCTGTGGCCTTTCTCTTAGTGTAGGCTTGGTCCTCTTTTTCTCCATGATATTTATTTAACAGTTCGATTGAGATATAATTCACATTCCATAAAACTCACCCATTTAAAGTGTACAATGGTATTTGATATGACATTATTGAGTTTTTATTAATTTGGTAAAATATGTATAGCAGGGGGCCGGCCCGGTGGCGCACTGCTACAGTGCACCACTTGGGAGCGCACGGCGCTCCCGCCGAGGGTTCAGATCCCACATACAGACCGGTTTCCGCTCACTGGCTGAGCGAGGTGCAGGCGCAGCACCGAGGGTTGCGATCCCGTTGCCGGTCCCGGTCCGGTACGGGCGTGACACTGAGGGTTGCGATCCATTGCCGGACACGAAAAAAGACAAAAAGGAAAAAAATATATATATGTATAGCATAATATTTACCACTTTAAGCATTCTTAAATGTACAGCTCAGTGGCATTAACTACATTCACAATGTCATACAATTATCACCTCTATTTTCAAAACTTTTCATCACTCCCAGAAGAAACTCTGTATTCCCCATCTCCATCATTTTCTTTCCTCTGTCCAGAGACACCTAACATTTCCTTGGCAATGTCTCTGTTTCTGTACTTTTGTGATTTCCTTTTTGTATTTTTTTTCCTTTCTGTTGTATGTTTTAAGTTTTTTTTCAACTTTTGTATTTTAGAATGTTAAAAATAAAATAGGATTTTTTTTCTAATTTGGGTGCAATTACAGAGGGGTATGCAGTTGGGGTACTGATGGCAATGGAAAAGTGGAATTCCTACTAACAAGACAGGAGGTCCCAGGCAAGTGAAAATCCTGGTAAGCAAAACATAGAAAGCATTTCATGAGGCACTTTAGCTTTTTGTTGGTTTTCAATCTCTTGAGGTATTTTACATTTTTTATGTCTACCAAATTAGATCAGAGATGTTTAAATACATAATGGAGGTATGACTGGGAAAATAAATTGCCATTCAGGATTGTAATTACCTTGTGTTTACCAGTACTTAAGATCCTCCCTGAGTTTAGCCTTAAGGCCTCTGGGTAGGTCTGTTTGTGGGTAATTCTCAGTCAGATAAATAAGAGGTGTTGACTTTCTCAAAGCAGTTAGACACCAATGGATCTCCTCTAGATGGCCTGACCCTGGTAGAAACAAAGAAAGCACCAAGGCCATTCCTTTGTTCCATATGGCCTTTTAATTGTGAATGGCATGCACCCAGTCTCCCCAATGCTACTCTAGCAGGATGCAAGTCAAAGGACCACACAGGCCATGAGTAGTGGCGATTAAATGACTTGATTTAGTAGCCAATGACTGAGGCTAGGGAACGTCCATTATCTTGAATCTCTTCTAGTCTTTTTGGCTGAGTAGTGAAATAAAGTACAACCCAGATGACTGATATTGATAAAATTTAGCTGGTACATTTGATTTTATTCTTATTCAACTCCTCCCACCTACCCAAATTTTTACCCCTACCCAAATTTTTACCCCATAAAAAGAATTGGAACACTGTAGGAGAAAAACAAACTCACCTTTACAAAAATTTAGAAACCCCCAGATGCTTTATTAAACTACAGCACATACTAGCTAACACATACAATGAATACATGTACAATATTCCCAAAGAAAAAATATTATTTTCATTGTGGTCTTTAACTATTCAAATTACCTTGACAAGTTAAGCAACTACCTTAACTAGGAATTTACTTCTCTGAAAATGAAAGGGTTTAAAAAAGAATATATTTAAAATAACCCAGATGTTCACTGAAGTTTCAGTATCATTGATTTATGGTTAACAAACATCTTTCACTAAAGCAAATTACATGGCTCAGGAGAAAAAACAAATGGAGACTAACCCTGTTTCTTATTACCTATGACTGCAGGATGCAGTTATCAAATACTATTGCCATGGTCCTTGGCAGTACTATGGTGTGACTCCTTCAGTTTTCAGCCTGGCCCCTGCTGTGAAATCAGCATCTGGGTCTAGCTATGAGCTCCCAGGTCGGAACCTAAGGTCCTAAAAATGACTCACTTCAAGAAAATTTTTAGCACTTTCTGTACATGAAATAGTATTTTGGTCCTGTGAAAAACATAAATAGTCACTGTTTTCTAACAGATAAAATAATTCAAATTTCAGCAGGATCAAACAATACTTTCTGCCTATAAGCCTGTAGGAGTTTATGAGCAAAATCACAAATTTGACCTTTTTTTTAAATGTAGAAATGTACTGCTAGCATGTTTGTTACACTAATGATGGAAAGAGACAATGCAAATCATTTCATCATCACTTACTTTGAGTTTGGAGTATGATGTTATTTTTTTCAAACGTAAGGGTGCATGTGTGTGTGTTCATATGTGTATGAGAGAGGGGGAGAGATTGAAAAAAGTTCTGAGAATTCAGAGAAAGAAAAACAAGGAAAATCATGATAATAATTTCCATTATAGTTTACAATGCATGATTAAACAATATGGAGAGAAACTGATCCATGAAGTGTATGAAGCTGTCCATCATCCTGCCCCATACTGTATATCCTTACTCTGTGCATCCATCAAAATCATTTTGAAGACTTGCACATTACAGGAGGGAAGTGGTAGTTATTTAATGAAACACTTTAAAAAGTTGGTAAGAACACTAACACAAATTAGAAAGGTGTTAAAGAACTATCAGGGCGCTATAGTTCCTTTTCTGAATGTCCTATCAAATAACACACAAGGATAGTAAATGGGAGGTTTCCCTCTTTAAAAAAATCATCTTTATCCTCAAGGTTCATGTGTGCTGTCACATATTGCAGAATTTCCTTCTTTTTTTAAGGCTGAATGGTATTCATTGTATTTATTCCTCTGTCAATGGACACTGTTTTAGTCCGTTTGTGTTACTATAACTGAATACCTGAGACTGGGTAATTTATAAAGAACAGAGGTTTATTTGGCTTATGATTCTGGGACAGCTGCATCTGGTGTGGGTCTTAGGCTGCTTCTACTCATGGCAGAAAGCAGGAGGCAGCTGGTGGGTACAAGCAGATCACATGGCAAAAGGAAGCAAGAGAGAGAG